TTCCTGAGCTTAGAGCTCATCTGACGTTTTAGAAACAGTTTTACGGCACTTGCAACACTATTAGGTCAAATAAAATGAGTGCCAAAGAGGTGTGACACAAGCCTGAAAAGGGTAACAAACAACAATGGCTAAACTAAAAATGAGACACCAGGACGGTAAATGTCCGAAAGGAAACAAGGAGAAAACCACAAAAGAGCACCTGCAAACCACCCTCAAGCTAAACCGAGCTTGGATTATAAAAAAGGTCCGCGGGTTTCTTCATCCGTAGAGGAAAGCCAAGGTCAGGCCAGTCCTGCCAAAGTTCAAGTGAGACAAAGCCCTTCCACTTGACCAAAACAAACAACAGGATTAAGCGATGCAATTGTTGACTGCTGGTTGCGACATATATACATTGTTATTCCAAGTGTGTGTGTGTGTGTGTTTATGTGTATATGGGTGTGTGTTTGTACGTGTGTGTTGTGTGTGTGCGTACAACCACCCACTTAGTAAGTTTTACAGCACTTTCAACACAAGGTAAAATAAGTGCCGTACATTTAAGATGCTACTAGTAGGCCTACTAGAGAGTAACATACATTGAAGAAAAGGAGGAGAGATAAGGACTATATATTTTTCAGCTTTTGTAAAGTTTTACAGCACTACAATAAGGTTAAAAATGTTATACAGTGCTGAAAATTAGAGGTGTTACAAGACAGTAACAAACACAAATAAAGGAGGAAGGGATATAAGGACGACACATGTTAAATAGGAAAGAAGGAGCAAACCATATCAGAGTTAGTTTTAGTTTTAGTAGAGGCTTTACGGCGCTCGCAACTGCATAAGGTCATATGAGCGCCAGAAGATTAGAGGTGTTACAAGAGAGTAACAAACATAAAAAAGAAGAAGGGGGAGATAAGGACGATAGATGTTTGAGATAGGAAAGAAGGAGCAAACCACACCACAGCACCCGCCAACCACTCACAAACTACATCAGAACAACAATGAGAACAAAGGATTGAAAAGAAGTAGAAGAAGCAGCAGACACCAGCACAGCCCAAACAAAGCTGCAGTCAATTCCCAGACAAAAACAAAAAGACAAACAATCCTTTATTTTCTTACAGATTTCTTCTGTAATTCTTTATTTTTCAAAAACTATTAGGAACAACGAACATTTTGTGTCCAAACGAACAGAACAAGGCAAAGAAATAACTCAACTTGGTTCTGAGGACACCACAACAATACCCTTTCAGAGGTAAGAACACACAGCCTCATCAACAGAAAGCAAAGAAAAGAAACATCATTGAGACAGATGTGTTATAATCTATATGGGAAAAACTCACTAAAACTAAAACTGCTCAACATGCAGAAAACTAAAAAAGCTTTAAATTGACAAGAACAAGGAAATCAAATGTATTAGTTTCAATAGAAAGTCTCACAGCACTTGCAACACGATCAAGTCAAATAACCAAATCTATTTTTTTTTTTAAAACAAGAACACCAAATGTGAGGCCGCGTGGTGGAATCAGGCTCTCGTCAATTTTTGGACATGTGGAGTTATTGGTATCATCTTAAAGCTTGTTCACTTGTCTTTATTTGGATTTTAAAAATATCCATTTATCTTGAATACAAGTTGAGATATTTGCGAATGAAGGAGGTGGGGTTCCCTGTTTCCAGAGGTAAAATTAGTGAGAAAATGGCCGCCAAAGATGTTATTTCTTTAGCTTAATAGACCGTGGTAACTGAAAAATGACATTTTTTGTGCCTTTAATCAACGTTTTCCAGAAAAATCCAAACAGAAATGATTTCTTTAAAGGGCATGAAAGGTGTTGAGCCAAAAAACAAAGATTTGATAAAAATTCACAAACCTGCGGAAAAGATGCAAGTTTCTTCACTTTGATTAATTTGACGAGAGCCTGATTCCACCATGCTGCCTCACATATGTATTAGTTTCAATAGAAAGTCTCACAGCACTTGCAACACAATCAAGTCATATAATCGAATCTTTTTTTTTTTAAATTAAAAAAGAAAAGAGCAAAAACACTAAATGTATGAAAAAGAACAAGAACAAAGAACAAAAAACCAACTGTATAAAAAACAAATAAACAACAAAAGTAAATGCAGCAACAACAAGAACAAGAAAACAAAAAATCCCCAACCCATGAACACTGCGGATACAATCTCCTCTTTCCATCAGCTCGTCATCGCCATAAATCTTCAGTTCTGAGCAAAGAACAACATAGTAGGCATGATGTCGCTCACTAAGTGCTTGGGAACAGTAAGAGTAGACTGATAGACCTTTACATGTAAACTCCAATCACCTGAAAAAAATCCCTTACTCAAATACTCCCAGACACTATAGCCGTGTAGAAAAAATGCTTCAAAGTACACATTTGCTCACAAAAAAGATTAGAATGCAGTAGCTCAGAAACTAATGGATGACATTTGATTTGTTTGAGCAAAGCTAGGCACATCAACACAATAATGATCGTTTAGTAGAGGAAAAAAATGAAGACAGACAGGAAGCTAGAAGGGTAAAAACAGAAATAGGACAGACTAGTTAGTAGCATCCTCCAACCACCCGCACAAATGGAAAATATAAAGTTCTGAAACATAAAAATCTGGAATGAGAGAGCCACGACAAACAAGAATCCACGTGAAAAGTTCCTGGCATTGGGATAATGTTGTGTAGCTCATCATGATGAATATACCAATACAACACAACAAACGGAACAAACTTGAGTACACTGCAGCATGAACGCTACTCTTTCTTAACCGTATAACGGAAATAACAGGGGAGTAATGTACGAAAACTACCCCGTGTTTACATCATAGGGGAAAGTAAAGTTTCTTGATACTCCACAGGATGATACTGACTGCTGACACCAAAATGTCCACCCCAAATACTGTTTTAAAACAATGACACGACAAGATACAAAAATATATCAATTGAACATAAAGGTCCTCCAAAAGCTTTTGAATAAAATTTCAGTATGGCACAGAAAAAAAATGAAGAGAGTAAATCTTAAAAACTTCAATGGCAGCCTTTTTTTTCCTTTCAAAAGACAGAAAATCTCAACAGAAGAGAACATGAACTACAATAAAAGCAACAAGCTACACACACTTTGAACAACAGAAAACTCGGATAGCTTCTTTTCAGAAACCATGTCCCTTGATGAGGAACCACAAAAAACCCCCCCAAAAACATGTCTTTAGGTCAGAAAAGATCAGATAGAAAACCTTAAAATATACAGAGGCATAAACAGAAAATCAAAGCGTAATAAATCAGAAAATGAGTATCCTTGATCTCATAAAACCTTCATGAACAAGCCTGGGCCGCACATCTTATTTCTCTACACATGGTCAAGCCACATCTTTCAAACGACAGCAACAGTCAGGCCACATCTTCAAAACGACAGTGACGGTCAAGCCACTGACAGACTCAAGAACAGTCATGTCAGAGATCAGGGGTCTACCACAAGACCGTGGGAATACCGAGCAACGCCAAAACACGCGTTTAATATCTTTGAGTTATTTTGTTTAGTTTCATTGTTTCTGTGTTCATTTATTCAATAAGTTTTTACGATAAAATGAATTCACAATGTCAAATTTCTAACTCTTTAATCATCAGCAGAACAAACCAAAATAAAAATCTGTTCATCCGACAGTGTACAGCAGCACTTTTCAAAGCCTTCACTTTCACCATATTAACTTGTTGCCTGGTGTGACTGGGTGTGTGTGTGTGCGCGCGCGCATGTGTGAGCATGCATGCGAGCGTGTGTGAGCGAGTAGCGGGGCAGACACAACCCTGGCAGCGGTCAGTGGTGGAACAGCCGCAGGTTGGTGTGGGCCAGGGCGATGTTGTGGTCGTTACACGCCTCCACCACGGCCTGGTCATTGTTGGAGCCAGCCGGAGAGGCGATGAACTCCACACCACTCTGTGGGCAGAAAAATGTGGTAAAGGTGGTCAGAGGGAGATAGATTCACAAATAAAAATAAATGAAATACAGTGAAGTCTGCTTAACTTTTTTTTTTATTACAGTAGAGGGTTTTACGGCGCTTGCAACTGCATAAGGTCATATGAGTGCCAAGGGATGGGTGTCAACAGAGAAGTCTTCACAGGGAATCAGACTTACTCTGCTCACCTCTCTAGCTTCAACAGCACAAAGTCTGCTTCAACTATCAAGGCACCCCAGAAATAGCAGGTCACATGAGTGACAAACATACAAAAGAAGTAGAGGCAAATGACAATAGTAAAGATTAGGAAAGAAAAAGCAACAGTTCCCTGTTGTAGATCAGGCACAGTTATGAGCGTGACATGAATCAGCCCATTTACAATTCTACTGTGCTTGAACAAGAAATGTCCCCCCTTTGGGAATGGCCCAAAGACACTACAGTCAGTGGCACTGCCCTGGGGGGAATTTTAACTCTTTGAACATCATCGGACACTGGGAGCGCCCAGTACTAGCGACAACTGTTTCGTTTTATTTAGCGCTAGTTTTTCTAAACTATCCACGAACCAAGTTTTTTTTAGTAAGGAGTAAGCGTCTGTTTCCGCTATTTAGAAGTTGGAGGCAAGCTTTTGAGGTTATGAGACATAGTGCACTAGGTTTAGTTGACTGTAGAAAAAAAACTCTGGGAAACGGAGGAAAAAACTCTGGGCTTAAAGGGTTAAAGGTAAATTTGTGGTACAGCCAGATTTTCATCAGTTTTATAGAGAGGTTGGGGGAAAAAAAGGTAAAATTGACAGATGTTAAAAATAACCTCTCCAACTGTTTTTTTACCCAATGTTTGTTCTGTTTATTGCTGTTTTTGGATTAACCCCAGTCCACAATGCCATGGATTAACCATGTTCAGTTTAAGCGGGCGCCACAACGTCTTATTTTGTGCTTCGAAGGAAGTTGATAATAGATCTAACATTGATTGTAAAACAAACTTGCTGTTGAGCGGGAATTTACACCGTCATAATGATAAGTCATAATTGTCATGAAACAAGTTTGTTGTGATAACTGCTTTCGTAAATCAACACTCAAAACGATTTAAATTCTCCAGCGCCTTTTTTAGTTCCTTTCTCCATGGTAACTTTTTTTTGACTCCCACCGCCTTGAGCAAAGAGAAGCATGGTGATATAATTAGTCATTTTGAGCACAGAAAAAGTATGACATACAGAAAAACAAAAGAGGAAGAGGAAGTACAAAGGATCTGCAAGTGGTTTCAGTTTCTCCCTCTAACCACCAGCTCATTCCCTGCGCAAGCACGCATGCATGTGTATATGTGTATGTGCATGTGTATGAGTGCGCATGAGTGTGAGCATGTGTGTGCGCATGCGTGTGCATGTGTGAGTGTTTGCCTATGTGTGAGTGTATGCCTATGTGTGTGTGTGTGTGTGTGTGTATGCTGAGTGTGGGTGTGCATGTGTTAGCGTATGTCTGTGTGTGTGTGTGTATGCCTGTTTGTGTGCTTGCATGTGTGTGTGTGTGCGCATATTTGTAGGATGCAATGTCTGAACCAAACACACGGAGACCACGACCCTCTACAGCTGCTGCCTCACCTGGTAAGCCCGGTCAATGTTGTCCCTGAACGGGAAGAAAGCGTCTGAGCTGAGAGACACGCCCTTCAGCTGGCCGACCCAGTTACGACGTTCCTCCTGTGGGACATACCACGAGACAAGGATCAGTTTTTTGAGGTTTTTTTAAAGTAAGTTTTTAATTTTAGTTTTAGTAAAGAGTTTAATGGCACTTGCAACACAATAAGATCACATAAGTGCCCTAATTAGAGGTGTTACCAGAGAGTAATAAACACAAAAAAGAAGGTGGGGGAGATCAGGATGACAGATGTCTGATAGGAAAGAAGGAGCAAACCACACCAGAGCACCCGCCAACCACCCACAACGACACAAGGATCAGTTGTTGTTTTTTAAAGTAAGCTTAAATTATACAAGCGCCACAGATTACAGGTATTGCAAGAGAGAAAAATGGTACAGGTTTAACGCCCAGCCTCTATCAACACTAATAGGTTACTTAAGAGGTGGATTACA